CAATAATGCAACCAAGAGGAAAATAAAAATACAATTATGGAAGAATTATATCCCATGTAAGTTTTTCAAAAACTACACAAGCATTCATTTATTTAATAAACGTACATTGATTTCACCTGTTTTTAATGTGTAATATGTTTGGACCGGGCATCCGTTTACACTCTATAGCCTTAAATTGTACTTTCCTGTCAACTCATTAGGAACCTAAGGCCACATTTTACACCGTGCACGTACTAGCACAGGAATGCCCGTAAAGCCGCCATCACAAAACGTGCTGGGGTTTCCCTTTAGACGTCAAAAAATATCACCTTAGAATACACCTCTCTTTCTTCACTAAACTCTGAAGTCCAGAATATCTGCAGACGGAAATCTGGCGAAACATCAAGCTAGATGCATTATTATATGTATGTATAAAATATACTGTTGTGTCAAGACAAACGTTTGGGCCTTGAAGTTTCTCAGTTTTTCCCCTCACAGGCTTTAAGGCATAAATCAGATCACTGACCTCTTTTCTAAAAGCAATTAGTAAATAATTTTGAAGAACACATTCAGAAAACCAGAATCGCACTCAGGAGAGCGCGTCGCTCGGCCACGGCCCCGCAGCAGTTCCCTCTGAATTCACACACGCCATTCAGATAAAGCAGATTGTTTCATTAGGATCCACGAAGCAAAGGTAGGATGGTCGGTTGTTTCCAGAACACGTTTATCTTATTTGTTGAAATCCTCCTCAAGTCCTATGAGTCGTTATAAATAAAGTTGTGCCAGTGTCTGTGCATTTGCGATAAACACGACCACGGTCCGAATGAAGTGATTGGCTGGCGCACCTGTCGCTAACCGACCGGTTTGCCTGAACGCACCCTGCCCCTGCTCTCGATGTGCACGAGACTTCAGCCGGAGACACATGCACCGCAGATCAGTCAGCGCACGCTCACGTGTTGCATAATTTCAATTACTAATTTCTCACTAGCTTTTCCAGGATTAGAAACTCTAGATTAAATTGCTTGGAACTTGATGAAAATGACAAAAAACACTTTTTTACTGTTGAAGAAAGAAAAAAAAATCTGTTCAGTAGTTTTGGTGAATTTAAACAAAATGAAAACATTGGATCCTCGACGGAGGTGAAAAATCATCTCCACAGCTCATTGGAAGTCAAATTTGCATTTACAAAACAAATCGACCGAGGTGGAAGTTTAAATCTGCCTAAAGCACATCAAGCCTTTTTCTCCACCCAGCTTCAAGCAGAGAGGAAATCTCCTCCAGATCGATGGACAGATGGGGAATGAAGAAACTTCTTCACTCGGGTTAAACAGGCGTCTAAAAACACTGCCGCCAGGTTTCAGCCTCTGATATAATTATAATAATAACAAACACGTCTGCAGAGGTGGGAGCAATTTTTAGCTTTCACATCATCCACCTTAAATCTTTTCCTAAAAAAAAAAGGTAAAAGAATAAGGATTCACTGATTCTACGTGAATAAAAAACGTCAGTCGGCACTAAGTAAGCGACGGGACATGAAACCAAACCGTGTTCAGAGTGCGGCACAGCGAGGTGAAAGTACAGACGGTACGGCAAAGTGCAGCTAGGCGTGGTGCAGAGCATATATCATACAGTGAGTACCCTCCTTGTTTAGTTGGAAGTAAAGATGGATGATGTTCACGCAGGTTTTTTAACTTGTGTCACTGCTGAGAGAGAAGAGCGTCGTTCAGAGTCTTTGGGTTTTGTTTTTTTTTGGATGTGTGCATGCGTACTTGTCCCAGATGAAGCCTTGAAGTAGACGTGAGTTTGATCCTGCATGCTTCCCTTGAATATGTCTGTACAATGTCCGAGCAATTGGTTTACTTTCAGTTTTCCCTTTTCAAAAAGCAGATGTTTTTAATGTGTCCGGAGCCGCTTGCCTTCGTCTTCTACTTTTTTCTCTCACTCGGCTGCAGCTCAGCAGTTCCCGGGCCCAGTGGCGTCCCGGCTGTCGTCCATGCTGTTCAGGGTGACGTAGATGATGGGGACCAATCCCTGCGTGGAGCCCTGGGAGCAGAGCAGCCAATCGGGATCAGCCTTGCTCAGGACCCGCAGAACATCGCCCTTGTTGAAGCTCAGCTGTCCGGGCTCGGTGGCGATGTGGTGGCACAGAGCTCGGACTTCACTGAGGAACAAACAGAGGACATTAGATTCCGAGCGGAGCGAGTCCGTATTTCGGATCTTAATAATTAAACAAAGCTTCTCACTTCACTGCATTTACTTTGTCGTGTGTGACTGAAACATGTGTTTGACGGATCAGGACTCATCGCTCACCACAGAGGCTGTCGTTTGGCTTCAGGTGGTCGAGTCGACGTTGGTGCTTTGTGTGTGTTCTCGGTGTGAGTGGGAGTCGTCGGAGGCTCCGTCTTCTTCCCGCTGCCTCCTGCTCCGATCGTCTGAGCCACGAGGTCGAGGACGGACCTGTCCAGACCGAGCCAACCTGACGGAGGTCTGGGAGAGGAGGGTAAATAAAACTGATCAGTTAGAGTTAGGGTGGGACTTGAGTCTAATAATTTATCTCAGTTGCAACAAATCCCGGGAAAAGACCTTTTGCTAAATACTCTGACTTCTCTCCAGTGACTTGTGACAGATTATGTGTGAACTCGGTGTTTTACGTATCTTCAGAGTCGTGACCTACCTGGTCCTCTGACTTCTCGCCCTCTGCTCAGCTGCCTCCGCTCTGGATGGAGAACCAAGACTCGATCCGAAGAGACGGCCCCAACGCAAACTCTGTCCCTGTGAGGGGCTGTCCTCCTGGGCTGCGGCCGGGGCCCCGGTGCCCGTGACCTCCACAGGTTTTGTCTCTTTCTCCTGGTTGAGAACAGACTCTGGGGGGCTGCCCATCCACGAGGGTCTTCCCCGTGGTCCGCCCGACTCCTCGCTGGAGCTACCGTTGCTCTTCCTGCTTCTGCAGCCCTCCCCTTCTTGGTTTGACTCCGCCCCCTCCACCACACCCTCTCGGGTGGGCGGTAGCCGCCCCTGTCGTCTCTCCGACGACCTCTTCCTCTTCTCGCTCTTCACAAACTTGGTCTTCTCCGTGGATTGGTCGATGTAGACCTGGGAGGACTGCATGAGCTGGTACCACCAGCCGGCCTGTCTGTCCTGCCACTGACGCCCTTCTTCAGCTGGATCCCTCTCTTTTCTCTTCCTCCTGTCCTTCTCCTGTCCATCCTCCCCTTCTCCCTGGCTCTCTTGCCCCACACCTTTCACTCTCTCTTCACTCATCCCCCTCTCCTTCCAAAGATTGGCAAACCCTACCTCCATCGTCATCGTCTGTCTGCTATCAGGTCCAGCTGTCGTGCTCTCTGTTGCATCCCCCTCCTTCCTCATACTGGATTTCACCCCCCACGCCTCCCTTCTCGACTTGGCTCCTTCCATCCTGGGCCACGTTCCCTCCCGTCTCAGCCCCGCCCTCTCCTTTTTCACCTCGCCGCTCGAGTCTCTGACCATTTCGCTCACGGTGGTGCTCCATCCTCGCATGAGCTGGAAGGTGGAGCGAGCCGACCGGTCGACGCTCTGGCCCGCAGAGCACAGCTGCTCCTTGCGACGCAGGTGCTCCTGGCCCTTTTGGAGGAGGTGCAGCTCAAACAGGAGGTCCAGGTCGAAGGGGAGCAGCGACAGGGGCTGCAGCAGGAGGAGGAGCTCCTCGAAGAGAGGCTGGCAGGCGCCCTGCGCCAGGGGAAGGAAACCCCACGGGTTGTAGTGTGCTGCTATGATATCTGAGGAAAGGAAAACAGAAACAGAATCAGAGAGAGGATTTCAAGACTGAAGAGATGTTGGAAGATAATAACACGGTATCTCACCTTCATGTGTGTAGAGGTGATTGAACCAGAACTCCAGAGATTTCAGGCTGAAATAGACAAATCAGATAAACTGAAATTCCATCAAGAAGAATATTCTAACTTCCAGGTTCACGGTCGTGATCCCGGTGAAAGAGAAAACTGCTGAACAGAGAAGTGACTCACTTGAGAAGACCGAAGATGAAGGCGTTCATCCTCATTCTGTGGCTGGTGAGCTCCGAGAACTGGCTCACCTTCGAGAACAAGCTGTGGAGGACGCGAGTGGACGGGCCTGACGGAGACAAACAGAAAAACTTACTCACACACAACAGGCTGCTCGTTCACTCTCACGTGATGGTAAATGATGAGAATGAACTATAAGACCATGGTGTTTAGATATTCCTATCCTCCTCCTCCTCACCCAGCTGAGTGGAGGCCTCCACCAGGCTCCAGGGCTGACAGCGCCGCTGCCCGATGATCAGGTCCAGCACGTAGGCCTTCAGGCCGTCCTGCAGCACGTCGTGCAGCGCCGGGCACAGGTACTTCAGGATGAGGTGACCCACGTTGGGACTCACCCAGCTGTTCCCCAGCTTCGCCTGGAAGGGTTGCAGAGAAATGTTGAGGGACACGGGGAGAGTAAAGTGGCATGTGAAGATATAGAACTTTGCATTTAGGCTTAAAAAAAGAAATAAATTGAATTAAGATCTTTTTTTCAGTCGCTGGTTCTCTGTGTCTGCTTCTCTTCTCAGGAGGAGATTTATCTGGAGCCTCGTTTGTTTAATGTCTAATTGGCTCTGAGATAAAAACAAACTCACAAGGGACCAATTAAAAGTCTGATATTAAAATAAAATCAAGTTACAGATCAATTACAAACCAATCAGATGATGTTACAGATTCACTGATGCAACACTGACATTATAAGATAAGAAGACTAATAAGTGTCATGACATAATATAATAAGAATATATTTATAGCATAATAAAGAGTTAC